AGTACATTTGAAACAAGTACTTTTTTATAAAATACAAAAATCCCGACAGTAGTAAGTAGAACATTAAGTTCGTATGTATTGGAATCTTGCCTCCAAAGAAAGCATCTTGGAAAAAATATGACTGAAGTAGTTTTTGGATCGACCGATTCCATTCCGTTGGCATATTCCTTGAATCCAGATGAAAATTTGGGTGTCACAATTTTTTATAAGAGTGTATCAATTTGGATAATAACAGCTAATAAAATCCGTATTCTGTCTCTTAAATGTCAATTTTGCTATCAAATGTGAATAACTCACCTCATCGTGTGTCTTGCGTGGTCTTTCTCTTCTGTGAGGGGCTGCGGTGGCGTCCCGCGTAGGAAGAGTTTCCTTAACCTTCTAATAAAAAAATAAAATAAAACAAACGATTATGGTTAAATGGCCTCAGGTATTTAACCCCCATATTGTTTAGATTCTTCTTGGAAAAAATATGACTGAAGTAGTTTTTGGAACGACCGATTCCATTATGTTGGCATATTAAATGTATCCAGATGAAAATTTGGGTATGGCACAATTTTTTATAAGAGTGTATTAATTTGAATAATAGCAGCTAGTAAAATCCGTATTTTGTCAATTTTGCTATCAAATGTGAATAACTCACCTCATCGTGTGTCTTGCGTGGTCTTTCTCTTCTGTGAGGGGCTGCGGTGGCATCCCGCGTAGGAAGAGTTTCCTTAACCTTCTAATAAAAAAATAAAATAAAACAAACGATTATGGTTAAATGGCCTCAGGTATTTAACCCCCATATTGTTTAGATTCTTCTTGGAAAAAATATGACTGAAGTAGTTTTTGGAACGACCGATTCCATTATGTTGGCATATTAAATGTATCCAGATGAAAATTTGGGTATGGCACAATTTTTTATAAGAGTGTATTAATTTGAATAATAGCAGCTAGTAAAATCCGTATTTTGTCAATTTTGCTATCAAATGTGAATAACTCACCTCATCGTGTGTCTTGCGTGGTCTTTCTCTTCTGTGAGGGGCTGCGGTGGCATCCCGCGTAGGAAGAGTTTCCTTAACCTTCTAATAAAAAAATAAAATAAAACAAACGATTATGGTTAAATGGCCTCAGGTATTTAACCCCCATATTGTTTAGATTCTTCTTGGAAAAAATATGACTGAAGTAGTTTTTGGAACGACCGATTCCATTATGTTGGCATATTAAATGTATCCAGATGAAAATTTGGGTATGGCACAATTTTTTATAAGAGTGTATTAATTTGAATAATAGCAGCTAGTAAAATCCGTATTTTGTCAATTTTGCTATCAAATGTGAATAACTCACCTCATCGTGTGTCTTGCGTGGTCTTTCTCTTCTGTGAGGGGCTGCGGTGCCATCCCGCGTAGGAAGAGTTTCCTTAACCTTCTAATAAAAAAATAAAATAAAACAAACGATTATGGTTAAATGGCCTCAGGTATTTAACCCCCATATTGTTTAGATTCTTCTTGGAAAAAATATGACTGAAGTAGTTTTTGGAACGACCGATTCCATTATGTTGGCATATTAAATATATCCAGATGAAAATTTGGGTATGGCACAATTTTTTATAAGAGTGTATCAATTTGAATAATAACAGTGAGTAAAATCCGTATTTTGCCTCTTAAATGTCGATTTTCCTATCAAATGTCAAAAACTCACCTCATCGCGTGTTTTGCGCGGTCTTCCTCTTCTGCGAGGGGCTGCGGCGGCATCCCGCGAAGGAGTTTCCTTAGCCTAGTAATAAAAAAATAAAATAAAACAAACGATTATGGTTACATGACCTCAGGTATTTAACCCTCATATTGTTTAGATTATTATTCATGTCGTATCAAAAACCTAAGCAAATTCCACCCGACCACTTGCTCACAATTAACTTATCCTGTAGTTTTCGTGCTGATAAAACTCCATGTGTCCACTGGCCTCCAAATGAAACAACATACGTACGAATTACTTCGTCTCAGCAATCTCAATCGCCCTTTTGATGTACAAATCAAATTTTAATTTTGAATCTTCGAAAATTATGAACAATTTAAAATATTCCATGTCACGGTTCGCACCTACCAGGCACACCTCAGGGATACCCCGATTAATGTACATAACAAACGGATACCGGTTGGGTTGTGGCCTCCGAACCCGGTTTAACCTACAAAGGCCAGCTTTCTCACCTAAAACAATATGAAAAAAATCACTCAGAAAAAGCACAGTAAAGGCGTCCTGTTGCCCCGTCAATTTACTCATGGCTACTGAAAATTCATGAATCGTGCAATCGTACGGTACCGCTCTCCAGCATTTCCGCCCGCGTTTCGAGGTTTTATTTGAAAAACAAAAGTGAATATTGTGAAACATTAAAATCTTCGAAAATTATGAATAATTTAAAATATTCCATGTCACTGATCGCACTTACCAGGCACTCCTCGCGGATACCCCGATTAATTAGCTTTAATTCCCGTTTCGTCTGTACATATATAATAAACGGATACCTGTTAGGTGGTGGCACCCGAACCCGGGCTGACCTACGAAGTCCAGTTTTGTCACCTAATACAGGATGAAAAAAATCACTCAGAAAAAGCATGGTCAAAGGGAAAAAGCTAGAAGTAGGTGGCGCAATTTTTGATTGAATGACTGACCTCAAATCACTTTAGTGGGGAGCAACATTGGATATTGCTGCCATTAAATCAGCTTGTGGAGTATTTTCATGAACACGAAAGTGGTTTTAATTTATTTTCCTGAAAGCAGGTTATTTGAAATACATATTAGATCACTAGATTCCTTGAAAATTGCAAACCACTTATGTTCTATTGAACTATAAGTAATTAATGTAGAAAAAGTACATTTGAAACAAGTACTTTTTTATAAAATACAAAAATCCCGACAGTAGTAAGTAGAACATTAAGTTCGTATGTATTGGAATCTTTTCTCCAGAGAAAGCATCTTGGAAAAAATATGCCTGAAGTAGTTTTTGGATCGACCGATTCCATTCCGTTGGCATATTCCTTGAATCCAGATGAAAATTTGGGTGTCACAATTTTTTATAAGAGTGTATCAATTTGGATAATAACAGCTAATAAAATCCGTATTTTGTCTCTTAAATGTCAATTTTGCTATCTAATGTTAATAACTCACCTCATCGCTTGTCTTGGGTGGTCTTTCTCTTCTGTGAGGGGCTGCGGTGGCGTCCCGCGTAGGAAGAGTTTCCTTAACCTTCTAATAAAAAAATAAAATAAAACAAACGATTATGGTTAAAATGGCCTCAGGTATTTAACCCCCATATTGTTTAGATTATTACTCATGTTGTATCAAAAACCTGAGCATATTCCACCCAACCACTTGCTCACAATTAACGTATCCTGTGGTTTTCGAGCTGATAATACTCCATGTGTCCACTGGCCTCCAAATGAAACAACAGACGTAGGAATTACTTTGTCTCATGACACCGGTTGAAACGGTGTCTTAAAGGGAGCCTCCTAGGAATCAAATTGCCTCTTATCCTCCTGATAGATTAGTGGGAGGATGGATTGTAGCAACCCGGTACTCGTAGGGAAAAGCTGGACCACAAAACATGAAATGAAGAAGAAGAGAGGAGGGAAACAGATAGTACTCTTGAAGAAGATACCGTCATGGAAGTTGAAATTCAGGACACGACAGTGGGATAGAATCGCAGAAGAAAAAATAAATAAAGTTTTTAGGAGACCAAAGGAAGAAGATCGTGAAAGCTAGAAAACTGGCAGGTGATGGGACTTTAACGGATCCAAATCCGTGCAAATGCTTAGAAATTCATCACGACAACTATTTGACCTACGAACATTAAGTTCGTATGTACTGGAATCTTGCCTCCAGAGAAAACATCTTGGAAAAAATATGACTGAAGTAGTTTTTGGAACGACCGATTCCATTATGTTGGCATATTAAATGTATCCAGATGAAAATTTGGGTATGGCACAATTTTTTATAAGAGTGTATTAATTTGAATAATAGCAGCTAGTAAAATCCGTATTTTGTCAATTTTGCTATCAAATGTTAATAACTCACCTCATCGTGTGTCTTGCGTGGTCTTTCTCTTCTGTGAGGGGCTGCGGTGGCATCCCGCGTAGGAAGAGTTTCCTTAACCTTCTAATAAAAAAATAAAATAAAACAAACGATTATGGTTAAATGGCCTCAGGTATTTAACCCCCATATTGTTTAGATTCTTCTTGGAAAAAATATGACTGAAGTAGTTTTTGGAACGACCGATTCCATTATGTTGGCATATTAAATGTATCCAGATGAAAATTTGGGTGTCACAATTTTTTATAAGAGTGTATTAATTTGAATAATAGCAGCTAGTAAAATCCGTATTTTGTCAATTTTGCTATCAAATGTGAATAACTCACCTCATCGTGTGTCTTGCGTGGTCTTTCTCTTCTGTGAGGGGCTGCGGTGGCATCCCGCGTAGGAAGAGTTTCCTTAACCTTCTAATAAAAAAATAAAATAAAACAAACGATTATGGTTAAATGGCCTCAGGTATTTAACCCCCATATTGTTTAGATTCTTCTTGGAAAAAATATGACTGAAGTAGTTTTTGGAACGACCGATTCCATTATGTTGGCATATTAAATATATCCAGATGAAAATTTGGGTATGGCACAATTTTTTATAAGAGTGTATCAATTTGAATAATAACAGTGAGTAAAATCCGTATTTTGCCTCTTGAATGTCGATTTTCCTATCAAATGTCAAAAACTCACCTCATCGCGTGTTTTGCGCGGTCTTCCTCTTCTGCGAGGGGCTGCGGCGGCATCCCGCGAAGGAGTTTCCTTAGCCTAGTAATAAAAAAATAAAATAAAACAAACGATTATGGTTACATGACCTCAGGTATTTAACCCTCATATTGTTTAGATTATTATTCATGTCGTATCAAAAACCTAAGCAAATTCCACCCGACCACTTGCTCACAATAAACTTATCCTGTAGTTTTCGTGCTGATAAAACTCCATGTGTCCACTGGCCTCCAAATGAAACAACATACGTACGAATTACTTCGTCTCAGCAATCTCAATCGCCCTTTTGATGTACAAATCAAATTTTAATTTTGAATCTTCGAAAATTATGAACAATTTAAAATATTCCATGTCACGGTTCGCACCTACCAGGCACACCTCAGGGATACCCCGATTAATGTACATAACAAACGGATACCGGTTGGGTTGTGGCCTCCGAACCCGGTTTAACCTACAAAGGCCAGCTTTCTCACCTAAAACAATATGAAAAAAATCACTCAGAAAAAGCACAGTAAAGGCGTCCTGTTGCCCCGTCAATTTACTCATGGCTACTGAAAATTCATGAATCGTGCAATCGTACGGTACCGCTCTCCAGCATTTCCGCCCGCGTTTCGAGGTTTTATTTGAAAAACAAAAGTGAATATTGTGAAACATTAAAATCTTCGAAAATTATGAATAATTTAAAATATTCCATGTCACTGATCGCACTTACCAGGCACTCCTCGCGGATACCCCGATTAATTAGCTTTAATTCCCGTTTCGTCTGTACATATATAATAAACGGATACCTGTTAGGTGGTGGCACCCGAACCCGGGCTGACCTACGAAGTCCAGTTTTGTCACCTAATACAGGATGAAAAAAATCACCCAGAAAAAGCATGGTCAAAGGGAAAAAGCTAGAAGTAGGTGGCGCAATTTTTGATTGAATGACTGACCTCAAATCACTTTAGTGGGGAGCAACATTGGATATTGCTGCCATTAAATCAGCTTGTGGAGTATTTTCATGAACACGAAAGTGGTTTTAATTTATTTTCCTGAAAGCAGGTTATTTGAAATACATATTAGATCACTAGATTCCTTGAAAATTGCAAACCACTTATGTTCTATTGAACTATAAGTAATTAATGTAGAAAAAGTACATTTGAAACAAGTACTTTTTTATAAAATACAAAAATCCCGACAGTAGTAAGTAGAACATTAAGTTCGTATGTATTGGAATCTTTTCTCCAGAGAAAGCATCTTGGAAAAAATATGCCTGAAGTAGTTTTTGGATCGACCGATTCCATTCCGTTGGCATATTCCTTGAATCCAGATGAAAATTTGGGTGTCACAATTTTTTATAAGAGTGTATCAATTTGGATAATAACAGCTAATAAAATCCGTATTTTGTCTCTTAAATGTCAATTTTGCTATCTAATGTTAATAACTCACCTCATCGCTTGTCTTGGGTGGTCTTTCTCTTCTGTGAGGGGCTGCGGTGGCGTCCCGCGTAGGAAGAGTTTCCTTAACCTTCTAATAAAAAAATAAAATAAAACAAACGATTATGGTTAAATGGCCTCAGGTATTTAACCCCCATATTGTTTAGATTCTTCTTGGAAAAAATATGACTGAAGTAGTTTTTGGAACGACCGATTCCATTATGTTGGCATATTAAATGTATCCAGATGAAAATTTGGGTATGGCACAATTTTTTATAAGAGTGTATTAATTTGAATAATAGCAGCTAGTAAAATCCGTATTTTGTCAATTTTGCTATCAAATGTTAATAACTCACCTCATCGTTTGTCTTGGGTGGTCTTTCTCTTCTGTGAGGGGCTGCGGTGGCGTCCCGCGTAGGAAGAGTTTCCTTAACCTTCTAATAAAAAAATAAAATAAAACAAACGATTATGGTTAAATGGCCTCAGGTATTTAACCCCCATATTGTTTAGATTCTTCTTGGAAAAAATATGACTGAAGTAGTTTTTGGAACGACCGATTCCATTATGTTGGCATATTAAATGTATCCAGATGAAAATTTGGGTATGGCACAATTTTTTATAAGAGTGTATTAATTTGAATAATAGCAGCTAGTAAAATCCGTATTTTGTCAATTTTGCAATCAAATGTTAATAACTCACCTCATCGTTTGTCTTGGGTGGTCTTTCTCTTCTGTGAGGGGCTGCGGTGGCGTCCCGCGTAGGAAGAGTTTCCTTAACCTTCTAATAAAAAAATAAAATAAAACAAACGATTATGGTTAAATGGCCTCAGGTATTTAACCCCCATATTGTTTAGATTCTTCTTGGAAAAAATATGACTGAAGTAGTTTTTGGAACGACCGATTCCATTATGTTGGCATATTAAATATATCCAGATGAAAATTTGGGTATGGCACAATTTTTTATAGGAGTGTATCAATTTGAATAATAACAGTGAGTAAAATCCGTATTTTGCCTCTTAAATGTCGATTTTCCTATCAAATGTCAAAAACTCACCTCATCGCGTGTTTTGCGCGGTCTTCCTCTTCTGCGAGGGGCTGCGGCGGCATCCCGCGAAGGAGTTTCCTTAGCCTAGTAATAAAAAAATAAAATAAAACAAACGATTATGGTTACATGACCTCAGGTATTTAACCCTCATATTGTTTAGATTATTATTCATGTCGTATCAAAAACCTAAGCAAATTCCACCCGACCACTTGCTCACAATTAACTTATCCTGTAGTTTTCATGCTGATAAAACTCCATGTGTCCACTGGCCTCCAAATGAAACAACATACGTACGAATTACTTCGTCTCAGCAATCTCAATCGCCCTTTTGATGTACAAATCAAATTTTAATTTTGAATCTTCGAAAATTATGAACAATTTAAAATATTTCATGTCACTGTTCGCACCTACCAGGCACACCTCAGGGATACCCCGATTAATGTACATAACAAACGGATACCGGTTGGGTTGTGGCCTCCGAACCCGGTTTAACCTACAAAGGCCAGCTTTCTCACCTAAAACAATATGAAAAAAATCACTCAGAAAAAGCACAGTAAAGGCGTCCTGTTGCCCCGTCAATTTACTCATGGCTACTGAAAATTCATGAATCGCGCAATCGTACGGTTCCGCTCTCCAGCATTTCCGCCCGCGTTTCGAGATTTTATTTGAAAAACAAAAGTGAATATTGTGAAACATTAAAATCTTCGAAAATTATGAATAATTTAAAATATTCCATGTCACTGATCGCACTTACCAGGCACTCCTCGCGGATACCCCGATTAATTAGCTTTAATTCCCGTTTCGTCTGTACATATATAATAAACGGATACCTGTTAGGTGGTGGCACCCGAACCCGGGCTGACCTACGAAGTCCAGTTTTGTCACTCAGAAAAAGCATGGTCAAAGGGAAAAAGCTAGAAGTAGGTGGCGCAATTTTTGATTGAATGACTGACCTCAAATCACTTTAGTGGGGAGCAACATTGGATATTGCTGCCATTAAATCAGCTTGTGGAGTATTTTCATGAACACGAAAGTGGTTTTAATTTATTTTCCTGAAAGCAGGTTATTTGAAATACATATTAGATCACTAGATTCCTTGAAAATTGCAAACCACTTATGTTCTATTGAACTATAAGTAATTAATGTAGAAAAAGTACATTTGAAACAAGTACTCTTTTATAAAATACAAAAATCCCGACAGTAGTAAGTAGAACATTAAGTTCGTATGTATTGGAATCTTGCCTCCAAAGAAAGCATCTTGGAAAAAATATGACTGAAGTAGTTTTTGGATCGACCGGTTCCATTCCGTTGGCATATTCCTTGAATCCAGATGAAAATTTGGGTGTCACAATTTTTTATAAGAGTGTATCAATTTGGATAATAACAGCTAATAAAATCCGTATTTTGTCTCTTAAATGTCAATTTTGCTATCTAATGTTAATAACTCACCTCATCGTTTGTCTTGGGTGGTCTTTCTCTTCTGTGAGGGGCTGCGGTGGCGTCCCGCGTAGGAAGAGTTTCCTTAACCTTCTAATAAAAAAATAAAATAAAACAAACGATTATGGTTAAATGGCCTCAGGTATTTAACCCCCATATTGTTTAGATTCTTCTTGGAAAAAATATGACTGAAGTAGTTTTTGGAACGACCGATTCCATTATGTTGGCATATTAAATGTATCCAGATGAAAATTTGGGTATGGCACAATTTTTTATAAGAGTGTATTAATTTGAATAATAGCAGCTAGTAAAATCCGTATTTTGTCAATTTTGCTATCAAATGTGAATAACTCACCTCATCGTGTGTCTTGCCTGGTCTTTCTGTTCTGTGAGGGGCTGCGGTGGCATCCCGCGTAGGAAGAGTTTCCTTAACCTTCTAATAAAAAAATAAAATAAAACAAACGATTATGGTTAAATGGCCTCAGGTATTTAACCCCCATATTGTTTAGATTCTTCTTGGAAAAAATATGACTGAAGTAGTTTTTGGAACGACCGATTCCATTATGTTGGCATATTAAATATATCCAGATGAAAATTTGGGTATGGCACAATTTTTTATAAGAGTGTATCAATTTGAATAATAACAGTGAGTAAAATCCGTATTTTGCCTCTTAAATGTCGATTTTCCTATCAAATGTCAAAAACTCACCTCATCGCGTGTTTTGCGCGGTCTTCCTCTTCTGCGAGGGGCTGCGGCGGCATCCCGCGAAGGAGTTTCCTTAGCCTAGTAATAAAAAAATAAAATAAAACAAACGATTATGGTTACATGACCTCAGGTATTTAACCCTCATATTGTTTAGATTATTATTCATGTCGTATCAAAAACCTAAGCAAATTCCACCCGACCACTTGCTCACAATAAACTTATCCTGTAGTTTTCGTGCTGATAAAACTCCATGTGTCCACTGGCCTCCAAATGAAACAACATACGTACGAATTACTTCGTCTCAGCAATCTCAATCGCCCTTTTGATGTACAAATCAAATTTTAATTTTGAATCTTCGAAAATTATGAACAATTTAAAATATTCCATGTCACGGTTCGCACCTACCAGGCACACCTCAGGGATACCCCGATTAATGTACATAACAAACGGATACCGGTTGGGTTGTGGCCTCCGAACCCGGTTTAACCTACAAAGGCCAGCTTTCTCACCTAAAACAATATGAAAAAAATCACTCAGAAAAAGCACAGTAAAGGCGTCCTGTTGCCCCGTCAATTTACTCATGGCTACTGAAAATTCATGAATCGTGCAATCGTACGGTACCGCTCTCCAGCATTTCCGCCCGCGTTTCGAGGTTTTATTTGAAAAACAAAAGTGAATATTGTGAAACATTAAAATCTTCGAAAATTATGAATAATTTAAAATATTCCATGTCACTGATCGCACTTACCAGGCACTCCTCGCGGATACCCCGATTAATTAGCTTTAATTCCCGTTTCGTCTGTACATATATAATAAACGGATACCTGTTAGGTGGTGGCACCCGAACCCGGGCTGACCTACGAAGTCCAGTTTTGTCACTCAGAAAAAGCATGGTCAAAGGGAAAAAGCTAGAAGTAGGTGGCGCAATTTTTGATTGAATGACTGACCTCAAATCACTTTAGTGGGGAGCAAGATTGGATATTGCTGCCATTAAATCAGCTTGTGGAGTATTTTCATGAACACGAAAGTGGTTTTAATTTATTTTCCTGAAAGCAGGTTATTTGAAATACATATTAGATCACTAGATTCCTTGAAAATTGCAAACCACTTATGTTCTATTGAACTATAAGTAATTAATGTAGAAAAAGTACATTTGAAACAAGTACTTTTTTATAAAATACAAAAATCCCGACAGTAGTAAGTAGAACATTAAGTTCGTATGTATTGGAATCTTTTCTCCAGAGAAAGCATCTTGGAAAAAATATGCCTGAAGTAGTTTTTGGATCGACCGATTCCATTCCGTTGGCATATTCCTTGAATCCAGATGAAAATTTGGGTGTCACAATTTTTTATAAGAGTGTATCAATTTGGATAATAACAGCTAATAAAATCCGTATTTTGTCTCTTAAATGTCAATTTTGCTATCTAATGTTAATAACTCACCTCATCGTTTGTCTTGGGTGGTCTTTCTCTTCTGTGAGGGGCTGCGGTGGCGTCCCGCGTAGGAAGAGTTTCCTTAACCTTCTAATAAAAAAATAAAATAAACAAACGATTATGGTTAAAATGGCCTCAGGTATTTAACCCCCATATTGTTTAGATTATTACTCATGTTGTATCAAAAACCTGAGCATATTCCACCCAACCACTTGCTCACAATTAACGTATCCTGTGGTTTTCGAGCTGATAATACTCCATGTGTCCACTGGCCTCCAAATGAAACAACAGACGTAGGAATTACTTTGTCTCATGACACCGGTTGAAACGGTGTCTTAAAGGGAGCCTCCTAGGAATCAAATTGCCTCTTATCCTCCTGATAGATTAGTGGGAGGATGGATTGTAGCAACCCGGTACTCGTAGGGAAAAGCTGGACCACAAAACATGAAATGAAGAAGAAGAGAGGAGGGAAACAGATAGTACTCTTGAAGAAGATACCGTCATGGAAGTTGAAATTCAGGACACGACAGTGGGATAGAATCGCAGAAGAAAAAATAAATAAAGTTTTTAGGAGACCAAAGGAAGAAGATCGTGAAAGCTAGAAAACTGGCAGGTGATGGGACTTTAACGGATCCAAATCCGTGCAAATGCTTAGAAATTCATCACGACAACTATTTGACCTACGAACATTAAGTTCGTATGTACTGGAATCTTGCCTCCAGAGAAAACATCTTGGAAAAAATATGACTGAAGTAGTTTTTGGAACGACCGATTCCATTATGTTGGCATATTAAATGTATCCAGATGAAAATTTGGGTATGGCACAATTTTTTATAAGAGTGTATTAATTTGAATAATAGCAGCTAGTAAAATCCGTATTTTGTCAATTTTGCTATCAAATGTGAATAACTCACCTCATCGTGTGTCTTGCGTGGTCTTTCTCTTCTGTGAGGGGCTGCGGTGGCATCCCGCGTAGGAAGAGTTTCCTTAACCTTCTAATAAAAAAATAAAATAAAACAAACGATTATGGTTAAATGGCCTCAGGTATTTAACCCCCATATTGTTTAGATTCTTCTTGGAAAAAATATGACTGAAGTAGTTTTTGGAACGACCGATTCCATTATGTTGGCATATTAAATGTATCCAGATGAAAATTTGGGTATGGCACAATTTTTTATAAGAGTGTATTAATTTGAATAATAGCAGCTAGTAAAATCCGTATTTTGTCAATTTTGCTATCAAATGTTAATAACTCACCTCATCGTTTGTCTTGGTGGTCTTTCTGTTCTGTGAGGGGCTGCGGTGGCGTCCCGCGTAGGAAGAGTTTCCTTAACCTTCTAATAAAAAAATAAAATAAAACAAACGATTATGGTTAAATGGCCTCAGGTATTTAACCCCCATATTGTTTAGATTCTTCTTGGAAAAAATATGACTGAAGTAGTTTTTGGAACGACCGATTCCATTATGTTGGCATATTAAATGTATCCAGATGAAAATTTGGGTGTCACAATTTTTTATAAGAGTGTATTAATTTGAATAATAGCAGCTAGTAAAATCCGTATTTTGTCAATTTTGCTATCAAATGTGAATAACTCACCTCATCGTGTGTCTTGCGTGGTCTTTCTCTTCTGTGAGGGGCTGCGGTGGCATCCCGCGTAGGAAGAGTTTCCTTAACCTTCTAATAAAAAAATAAAATAAAACAAACGATTATGGTTAAATGGCCTCAGGTATTTAACCCCCATATTGTTTAGATTCTTCTTGGAAAAAATATGACTGAAGTAGTTTTTGGAACGACCGATTCCATTATGTTGGCATATTAAATATATCCAGATGAAAATTTGGGTATGGCACAATTTTTTATAAGAGTGTATCAATTTGAATAATAACAGTGAGTAAAATCCGTATTTTGCCTCTTAAATGTCGATTTTCCTATCAAATGTCAAAAACTCACCTCATCGCGTGTTTTGCGCGGTCTTCCTCTTCTGCGAGGGGCTGCGGCGGCATCCCGCGAAGGAGTTTCCTTAGCCTAGTAATAAAAAAATAAAATAAAACAAACGATTATGGTTACATGACCTCAGGTATTTAACCCTCATATTGTTTAGATTATTATTCATGTCGTATCAAAAACCTAAGCAAATTCCACCCGACCACTTGCTCACAATAAACTTATCCTGTAGTTTTCGTGCTGATAAAACTCCATGTGTCCACTGGCCTCCAAATGAAACAACATACGTACGAATTACTTCGTCTCAGCAATCTCAATCGCCCTTTTGATGTACAAATCAAATTTTAATTTTGAATCTTCGAAAATTATGAACAATTTAAAATATTCCATGTCACGGTTCGCACCTACCAGGCACACCTCAGGGATACCCCGATTAATGTACATAACAAACGGATACCGGTTGGGTTGTGGCCTCCGAACCCGGTTTAACCTACAAAGGCCAGCTTTCTCACCTAAAACAATATGAAAAAAATCACTCAGAAAAAGCACAGTAAAGGCGTCCTGTTGCCCCGTCAATTTACTCATGGCTACTGAAAATTCATGAATCGTGCAATCGTACGGTACCGCTCTCCAGCATTTCCGCCCGCGTTTCGAGGTTTTATTTGAAAAACAAAAGTGAATATTGTGAAACATTAAAATCTTCGAAAATTATGAATAATTTAAAATATTCCATGTCACTGATCGCACTTACCAGGCACTCCTCGCGGATACCCCGATTAATTAGCTTTAATTCCCGTTTCGTCTGTACATATATAATAAACGGATACCTGTTAGGTGGTGGCACCCGAACCCGGGCTGACCTACGAAGTCCAGTTTTGTCACCTAATACAGGATGAAAAAAATCACTCAGAAAAGCATGGTCAAAGGGAAAAAGCTAGAAGTAGGTGGCGCAATTTTTGATTGAATGACTGACCTCAAATCACTTTAGTGGGGAGCAACATTGGATATTGCTGCCATTAAATCAGCTTGTGGAGTATTTTCATGAACACGAAAGTGGTTTTAATTTATTTTCCTGAAAGCAGGTTATTTGAAATACATATTAGATCACTAGATTCCTTGAAAATTGCAAACCACTTATGTTCTATTGAACTATAAGTAATTAATGTAGAAAAAGTACATTTGAAACAAGTACTTTTTTATAAAATACAAAAATCCCGACAGTAGTAAGTAGAACATTAAGTTCGTATGTATTGGAATCTTTTCTCCAGAGAAAGCATCTTGGAAAAAATATGCCTGAAGTAGTTTTTGGATCGACCGATTCCATTCCGTTGGCATATTCCTTGAATCCAGATGAAAATTTGGGTGTCACAATTTTTTATAAGAGTGTATCAATTTGGATAATAACAGCTAATAAAATCCGTATTTTGTCTCTTAAATGTCAATTTTGCTATCTAATGTTAATAACTCACCTCATCGCTTGTCTTGGGTGGTCTTTCTCTTCTGTGAGGGGCTGCGGTGGCGTCCCGCGTAGGAAGAGTTTCCTTAACCTTCTAATAAAAAAATAAAATAAAACAAACGATTATGGTTAAAATGGCCTCAGGTATTTAACCCCCATATTGTTTAGATTATTACTCATGTTGTATCAAAAACCTGAGCATATTCCACCCAACCACTTGCTCACAATTAACGTATCCTGTGGTTTTCGAGCTGATAATACTCCATGTGTCCACTGGCCTCCAAATGAAACAACAGACGTAGGAATTACTTTGTCTCATGACACCGGTTGAAACGGTGTCTTAAAGGGAGCCTCCTAGGAATCAAATTGCCTCTTATCCTCCTGATAGATTAGTGGGAGGATGGATTGTAGCAACCCGGTACTCGTAGGGAAAAGCTGGACCACAAAACATGAAATGAAGAAGAAGAGAGGAGGGAAACAGATAGTACTCTTGAAGAAGATACCGTCATGGAAGTTGAAATTCAGGACACGACAGTGGGATAGAATCGCAGAAGAAAAAATAAATAAAGTTTTTAGGAGACCAAAGGAAGAAGATCGTGAAAGCTAGAAAACTGGCAGGTGATGGGACTTTAACGGATCCAAATCCGTGCAAATGCTTAGAAATTCATCACGACAACTATTTGACCTACGAACATTAAGTTCGTATGTACTGGAATCTTGCCTCCAGAGAAAACATCTTGGAAAAAATATGACTGAAGTAGTTTTTGGAACGACCGATTCCATTATGTTGGCATATTAAATGTATCCAGATGAAAATTTGGGTATGGCACAATTTTTTATAAGAGTGTATTAATTTGAATAATAGCAGCTAGTAAAATCCGTATTTTGTCAATTTTGCTATCAAATGTGAATAACTCACCTCATCGTGTGTCTTGCGTGGTCTTTCTCTTCTGTGAGGGGCTGCGGTGGCATCCCGCGTAGGAAGAGTTTCCTTAACCTTCTAATAAAAAAATAAAATAAAACAAACGATTATGGTTAAATGGCCTCAGGTATTTAACCCCCATATTGTTTAGATTCTTCTTGGAAAAAATATGACTGAAGTAGTTTTTGGAACGACCGATTCCATTATGTTGGCATATTAAATGTATCCAGATGAAAATTTGGGTATGGCACATTTTTTATAAGAGTGTATTAATTTGAATAATAGCAGCTAGTAAAATCCGTATTTTGTCAATTTTGCTATCAAATGTTAATAACTCACCTCATCGTTTGTCTTGGGTGGTCTTTCTCTTCTGTGAGGGGCTGCGGTGGCGTCCCGCGTAGGAAGGGTTTCCTTAACCTTCTAATAAAAAAATAAAATAAAACAAACGATTATGGTTAAATGGCCTCAGGTATTTAACCCCCATATTGTTTAGATTCTTCTTGGAAAAAATATGACTGAAGTAGTTTTTGGAACGACCGACTCCATTATGTTGGCATATTAAATGTATCCAGATGAAAATTTGGGTGTCACAATTTTTTATAAGAGTGTATTAATTTGAATAATAGCAGCTAGTAAAATCCGTATTTTGTCAATTTTGCTATCAAATGTGAATAACTCACCTCATCGTGTGTCTTGCGTGGTCTTTACTCTTCTGTGAGGGCTGCGGTGCATCCCGCGTAGG